GGCTTTTTTCTTTTTGCTTATGTGGTGCTGAGGAATCGAACCCAGGGCCTCAGGCATGCAAGGCAAGCGCTCTACCACTGAGCCACCTTCCCAGCCCAAGTCATTTAGTTTTAAACTTGTTTTTTCTGTGCCAACTTGGTTGGGTACTTTGTTTTAGCAAGGATTTTAGGATAACACGAAAAAGTAGGGGAAAATGGAGAGGAAAAAAACACTTTCTGTTCTCCAAGCAGGAAAAAGGAGTTAAAAGACTAAGTTGGGTGAGGCACCATGCTTGTAATCCTAGACAGTCAGGAGGCTGAGATCATTGAAGCCAGCTGGGGCAGGAAAGTCCATGGGATTCTTCTTTCCAGCTAACTACCAAAAAGCTGAAGAGGAGCTGTGGTTGCAGTGGTAGAGTGGTACCATTGATCAAAACTCAGGGACAGCACCTAGGCCCCGAGTTCTAGCCCCAGGATTGGCATAACATTAAAAAAAAAAAAAAAAAACTTCCAAGTTAGGGACCTGAAATAAGTCATCCCCACCGCCACCCCAGCTGTGTTGATGACTGACTCTAGAACCTTAAATGTGCTATGCAGGTACTCTACAACTGATCTATATCCCCAGCCTTTAAGCACATCATTTTCTATCTTAGATGGTTGGTAGGGTAATAGGGTAATCATCTTATTTTTATAGCTGCCTTGCTCAAAGCCAGGCACTGTGAGAGTTTAGAACTCATTTCCTTAGGCTGCATGGCCTCATCCTATTTATACTATATATGGCACTGCTTCCCCTAAATTCTAAAGATTAGACTCATGGACAGGTTTTTAATTTACAATGGCACAGGGAGAAGTGGAAGCCTGGCACCTACCAGATTTCTTTTTTCTTTTTTAGTTGGGTTCTCAATATGTAGCTCAGATTAACCTCAAATTCTGTATCCCATGCCTTGGCCTTCTTGGTGGGTCACCAGCCTGGCCTTCAGTGATTTTTTTTCCCCCCAGTCCTGGGCTTTGAACTCAGGGCCTGGGCATTGTCCCTGAGCTTCTTTTGGTCAAGGCTAGCACTCTACCACTTGAGCCACAGTGCTACTTCCAGCCTTTTCTGTGTATATGGTACTGAGAAATTGAACCCAGGGCTTCATGCATGCTAGGCAAGCACTCTACCACTAAGCCATGTCCCAGCCTTTTTTTTTTTGTATTAAAAAATTCATAGATAGAGATTTCCTTGAGAAATGAACATAGCCTCATCTCCCTGATGTTATAAAATATAAAAACTCTACAGCAATCCTGAGGGCAGCACTAATGTGCTAATGGCTTAAAAAATGATTCCAGTGTCTGCATGCCCTCAAGCCTGGTGCGTTTATTGCTGGAGGCCATGGGACTCTTGGGATTTCTTTTGCTTTGAGGAGACAGAACAGGAGCAACCTGGCATCTTGAGGAATGAGACTGCAAAAAGGACTTTTGCAATTCTAATGCAAAATGGTAGTCCATGTGTTCGGGCATCTCCCACACCAGTACGGAGGAGCCACACTTCTCACAGGGGACCTGATCCTCTGCAGCTACAAAACTAGGGGTAGCAATTGCCTTTGGGGTCACCTCTGGCAACTTGGAAGGTGAGAAAACAAGCATATCTGGGCTGTTTGGGGCTGCTTTGGAAGATTCTGGCATCAAGGCTCCTTTGCAAACACCAGAGGTATCGCCTGAACACTCTGCTGGAAAATGGTTTGGCAGCCCTTCAGAACTGGACTGGGGATCTTGTGGGTGGTCAGGAGCTGCAGAATTGATAAGCTGTTTCTGCTTTAAAAGCTGACTCTTCTGCTTAAAGAAGGACTCAGTTCCTAAAGTTCGACTGCTTTTGAAACCTACGGAGGGCTTGGAAGGTGAACTTCCTGTGGTGGTTGGGGTAGCTGTTAGAGGTGAAAGCGAAGCTTCTTTGATGACTCTCTGCTTTTCTGCAGCTCTCTGGAAGAACGATTCCAGAGAGGCAGTTGCTTTCTTAACGGCTGGCACCGTGTGGCTACTTGTGTGGGTCTTCACTTCTGAGCTGCTAGTTGGCACCTTTGGCACAGAAGCTGAGTCACTGCTCAAGAAGACGGTGATGTCTTTGCAAGCTGAAGGGGCAGAGGCAGAGAATTTGGAAGCGCAGAGGAGGAGCATTGTGAGGGGCGGGGACCTGTGTATAAAGTAAAGGAATAGATCAGCTACCGGGTGTTTTAGAGCTCAGACTCCATTCACAGATTTCTGGCTTTCCCATGCAAAACTAGTTTTACTGCAGTGTTTCTCAGATCTTCGTTTGTATCACATTAGTACAGAGAAAACAGGCCTGGGATAGCCAGAAAATCTGAGTTTGCAACATTTTTCCAGGTGATGTTGGTTGTATGGAGCCAGTTTGGGAATCCCTAGTGTGACTGCACCTCCTGATAGCTGGGGTACCACTGCACAAGTGGCGTAATTCAGGGTTGGGGCATGAGATTTTATTCAAGAAACACAAAAGCTTTATATATATATATATATATATATATATATATATA